TGCACACACCTCATGCCTAGCACATGCCTTGCACACGCATGCACACACCTCCAGCCTCACGCACGCACGCACCTTGCACACTCACGTGCACACACACGCCTGGCACACACCTCACACGTGTGCACACGCCTCCAGCCGTGCACACGCACGCACCTTGCACACTCACCCATGCCTGGCACACGCCTCACATGCATGCACACGCCTCCAGCCTTGCACACGCCCCTTGCACACTCACATGCACACGCCTTGCACACTCACAGGCCTGGGCGATGCACACGCCTTGCACACTCACATGCACACCTTGCACGCTCACGTGCATGCCTGGGACATGCATATGCCTTGCACACTTACATGCACACCTTGCACGCCCACGTGCATGCCTTGCATGCTCACACCCCTTGCACACTCACATGCACGCCTTGCACACTCGCATGCACACCTTGCACACTCACAGGCCTGGGACATGCATATGCCTTGCACACTTACATGCACACCTTGCACGCCCACGTGCATGCCTTGCATGCTCACACCCCTTGCACACTCACATGCACGCCTTGCACACTCGCATGCACACCTTGCACACTCACAGGCCTGGGACATGCATATGCCTTGCACACTTACATGCACACCTTGCACGCCCACGTGCATGCCTTGCATGCTCACACCCCTTGCACACTCACATGCACGCCTTGCACACTCGCATGCACACCTTGCACACTCACAGGCCTGGGACATGCATATGCCTTGCACACTTACATGCACACCTTGCACGCCCACGTGCATGCCTTGCATGCTCACACCCCTTGCACACTCACATGCACGCCTTGCACACTCGCATGCACACCTTGCACACTCACAGGCCTGGGACATGCATATGCCTTGCACACTTACATGCACACCTTGCACGTCCACGTGCATGCCTTGCACACTCACATGCCTTGCACACTCACATGCACGCCTTGCACACTCACATGCACACCTTGCACACTCACAGGCCTGGGACATGCACACACCTTGCACACTCACACACCTTGCACACTCACGTGCACGCCTTGCACGCTCACGGGCTGGGACATGCACACGCCTTGCACACTCACACGCATGCCTGGGACACGCACATGCCTTGCACACTCACCCCCCTTGCACACTCACACGCACGCCTTGCACACTC